CGGCCGCTGATTTGCTGGAGGTGAGTACTGTGGGCGGGTCTAGAGTAATACGCTCCCACTGAGCTTGTCAGGGCCTCTAAGCATAAAGAATCCGGTATGTGAACACTTGGCACATAGCGTGTGTGTGTCAGTGTATGTACCACTGCCCCTGTCCATTCCAGAATCGGCCTTGTGTGAAGTGTGCTCATTTGAGCATTTTTATCTTCGCGACTCTTTAGCAGTGTGTAAGGGCTGGCTGGATTAATGTATATATAATATATACAATGTATATATGTGGTCTGTCTTTTTTACAAGAGGAATATAGGGTTGAGAAAGGATTACTAATAACTATATCGTGTCATTTCTATGAAGGTGACTGGGTACCTTTTCATTTGAGGAGGAAAATGAGAAACCAAACAAGGCTAGAAAGACACTTCTCTCCCATTGTTTCTACATTCACCCCTTAAAATATCCCTAAAATCTTGGACTCTATGACTTGCTGGCTCCTTTAAACAGTAAGAAATGGAAAACTAAATATTTTAGTTCTACTTCTACAATTATTTTTATGTTAAAAACTGTGGTTTCTAACTGAAAATGTCTCAAGAAAGAGGATTATCCCACTTGTAGCAATTTCCAAGTCTTAGTAATTCTCCACTTTTTCCTCTTGTAATGTAAATATTTATGGAATAATCATTTTGTGTACATACTGCTTATTGCCTTTTATTTAAAGTCTTTAAGTGTTTAGCTCCATGAGACACTTCTACTTAAATTGATGGAATAAACATTATATGGAAATTCTAAAAAAAAAAAAATGATAACACTGGGCACAGAGTGGTTCTTTAAAATAGGTGTTATACCCTTCAAAAGATGAATTGCACTGGGAAAATTTGTTGTCAGGGACCTCTCCAGAGTACTGAAAAGCAACGATGTCAGTCTAGAAACTAAGGTGCACCTAACCGAGGCCATGATCTTTGCAATTACTTGTTATGCTTCAGAGAGCTGTCTCACATTCTTTGAGCACATGGCTAGGAAGGCTCAGTCCTTGGAAAAGAGAATCATGCTTGGAAGGGTGGAGGGACAGCACAGGAGAAGAGTACCGCCAATGAGATGGATTGATATAGTGACTGGGACAATGGGGTTTGGTGTGTTGGAATCAGTGAGACTGGCTCAGGACAGGGCAGGGTTCAGAGCAGCTGTACATAGGGTCGCTACGGGTTGCAGGTGACTCAACGGCACATAACTGAGGGAAGCCGAATATCAAAATTAATAATAGTAGACCAAATGCTGTATCGGGAAATGAGGGAGGCTTAATACAAGCTGAAGGTCGCCTTGTGACACTAGGGCTTTCCTTAGGAGTCAACATTGTTCTTAGTTTTTATCAAATGAACCCCTCCCTCTTGAGATTAACATAAAGAGGAACTTGGCCTTATCTGTAAAAGATTTCACCATTATCCTTTGTTTTGTACTTCCTTGTTTTTCTGTATAAATACTCAGAAAAGCATGGCTCGGTGCCTTCAGTCATGGGAACTGTTCTCCCCGTTTTTCACACTCTCTGCTCTATATCATTCCTGGCTGTTTGTCTCTTTATTATAAATTTATTCTATTCTTTGGGACCCTCGGTCTGCAACACATAACAGTCATTGGCAAAGCCACTGGTTATCAAGAAACTCAGTAGATGTACTTCTGTAGGCACTCAAGTAACATTAAGTATGAACTAGAGATGAGGAATTCAAAACTGATGAAAACAGGCCACCCTCAAATCTGTACCAATAATCTTTGTCACTTCTGTAACACTGACCTTCACCTTGTCTTTTCCTTATAAATACCCAAACTTCATCCATACCTCCCCTCAGTCCAAATGCCTTTGCTTGACACCTGTGGTCTTTACTGCGCCTTCACTGTTCGCCAATGGAATCCCTTCACTTCAACTTTTCTTGTTGCCCCTAGACAAGTTACGGGCTCTCAAACTTCTAAATCCACTCATGCCTCTTTGCCTTAAATTCTCTCTTTCCTTCATGAACTGGTTCTCTAAGCCTTCTCTAATCTCTCCAGACCTCAATAATCATAATCATATCTTCCTGAGAAATCTTAAAGATTTATTACAGCACTACATCTTGAGTCCTGATCAAATTGCATTAGCCTTCCACTTCATCTGATATCAGTGATATATTTTAGTCCCCTGGATAACACCAGGGCCTTCATTGTAACAAGCACTCAATAAATACTTGAAGAAGTAACAAGAAAAACAGTTCCTTCTCTTAACTTTTCCACTATAACTAAAGCACGCTCCTCTTTTAAATACACAGTCATTATTCATGTAATACAGTAAGAGTGATTATCATATAAAAAGATATTATTTGAGGACTGTTAAACCCACACATCAAGTCTTCTGAGTTCTAAACACACAACTAAGTGCTTAAATACTGAA